GGAGATATTTGCATTTCCCTTCCTTTTCATTGCTTTCTGAATTCAGAGAGAATTATGTAGATTTCTCTCTCTCTAGCTGTATCACTTTCTATGTGGAGAAATTGACAAGGGAAATACCTCTGAGAATATTCAAAGTACTGTATCTTAAAGTCATTGCAAACAAACATAGTTAGCTCCCACATATCTGACATCAGGATTAGTGAAGCACTGAAAGAGGAGGATTATTTATGTTAAAATTCTCCCATGACATCTATGCACATTGCAGTGCTTGTTTGGGGAGCCCGAACATGTAAAATGTACAGTGGTGCCTCGCTAGACAGTTACCCCGCATGACAGTTTCTCCGCTAGACATTGACTTTTTGCGATCGCTATAGCAATTCACAAAACAGCGATTCTTATGGGGGAATTTCGCTGGACAATGTTTGGTCCCTGCTTCGCAAACCGGTTTTCGCTACACGACGATTTTGACAGCTTCCTTCATGCCTGCAAAACAGGTGTTTTCAGGACCTAAGCTTCGCAAGACAGCGATTTAAACAGCTGATCGGCGGTTCTCAAAGCGGCCTTCCTATGGCTGATCTTCGCTAGACAACGACGATTCTTCCCCATTGGAATGCATTAAACAGGTTTCATTAAACAGCGATTTCAGTGGAACGGATTATCATCGTCTAGCGAGGCACCACTGTACATCCATTCAGATCTGGGATAGGAAGCATTGTCCTCAGGCTGATCTGACTTTCTGTATTATGAGATAACCAAAACTGATTAGTCATCTTCGATAAGCAGAAGGGATATTCAGAATGCGGCCAGTCTAATCATAAGTATGTGCCCTTAAGTCGATCCTGACTGATGTCATCCCCTTTTCAGGGTTTTCCAATACTGAGCACTCAGAAGTGGTTTATCATTCCCTTCTTCTGGGTATTTCCTGGGACTGTGCAGGTCGCCCAAGGCTACACAGGCTGGTTCTTCTGGGATGCCCGGGGGGGGGGGGAATTGAACTCCCTACATCTGGCTCTGCAGCCAGGTACTCCTGGTATTAGAGTCTTATTGCTCTAATATGACTTGGTGACACAATTATGCAGCCAAATCAAACCGACTGTTTGATAACATCTCCACAGTGCTGCCTGTGCAATCCCAGTTTGCTTCACATTGCCTCAGAAAAGAACCTTTACTTTTTTTTTTTAAAAAGGATCACATGTGGGGAAAGAATAATTCCAAAAGCTGATAAACTGCTTATTAAAAATAGTACACAAAGATTTTCTATGTGGAACATTTCCTACCGTTGAATCCACCACACCCCACAAAGGAGTGAATGGGACCAAATTCATTATGTTGTAATGAGTAACACAGAGGTTTGGATGCCTGCAGGTAGGTTTGAATCACTCCATGCATAAAGGCACCGTAGAGTCTGGATGTTACTGGACTGTGATTTGGAAACAGGTGAACAAGTCCATGGCCGTAGCACATGTTTTAACTGGGAATCAGTGGGATGGGGTGGGAGCCCTGAATGGTTAGGGAATTTCTTGGTGCATGTGGCTACTGGAAGCTCTGATAAAACTGTATAATCAATGTTTGCCTGGTAAGGGTTCTCCTTTGGAACCATAAAAACTGCATAACAGGAAGACAATCCATGTATGTAGTTTCTTTCATTTTTTTTATTTTAGAGGAAGGTTCACACCTTGAAAAGGGACATGGTGGCGCTGCGGGCTAAACCGCAGAAGCCTGTGCTGCAGGGTCAGAAGACCAAGCAGTTGTAAGATCGAATCCACGCGACGGAGTGAGCGCCCGTCGCTTGTCCCAGCTCCCGCCAACCTAGCGGTTCGAAAGCATGCAAAATGCAAGTAGATAAATAGGGACCACCTCAGTGGGAAGGTAACAGCGTTCCGTGTCTAAGTCGGACTGGCCATGTGACCACGGAAGATTGTCTTTGGACAAACGCTGGCTCTATGGCTTGGAAACGGGGATGAGCACCGCCCCCTAGAGTCGAACACAACTGGACAAAAATTGTCAAGGGGAACCTTTACCTTTACCTTTTCACACCTTGAATGTGACTCTTAATAGCTCAGATAAGAGATAACCTGTTAATTATTTGCTCTGTTTAACACAGCAAGTTTTTGAATGGGACCCAACTCTCCCAAACCAGTGGTCCCCTACAGTTGCTGGACTCCTACTTTCATAACCTTCTGCCAGCATAGCCAATGATCTGCAGTGGCAGTGAATCAACATCCGAAGGGCCCCAGGTTCACCAGCCCAGCTTTGACTGCTGGTCTTAGGGCATGAAAGCATAGGCTTCACACATGTACATGTGGACCACCCTAGTATATTAAAAAAGACAAGTTGTAGATCAACTTTCCCATCACTTGCCTTAAGATCAAAGGAAATGGGGGCTCCTTTCAAACAGGGATGAATGAAATGGCCTGGCTTCTCTCAAATGGGATTGGTTAAGAACAGAGTGGTTCCCTTCCACGTTGGCAAAAAGTTTATAGCAGATTGTAGGCTGTGGTGTAGACTTTACAGTCTATGTGTACTCTGTAGTTTTGCTGAGAGGCACAGGGATATGTTCCTACTACATATGTGGTGAGATCTGGCACTGGAAATGGAGTGATGAAATGGTACTATTCTGTTCTGCTTTGAATTGAACATTGTATCTAGTTCCAAGATTCATAATTTAAGAATGGTATTGACAAACTGGGATGTGTCGAAGGCTATTTGGCTTAGAACAAAGATGGTGGGAAGCCCGGAGAAGACGTTCTATGTAAAAAGGTAGAAAGAGTTGTATAAGTGGGCCTGCAGACCTTTCAGACAGGATAATGAGACTGTCTTCAAAATATTTCAAGGGATGTCACAGAAAAGATGGAGCCTATTTGTTTTCTCTGTGTTATTCCTATCATGGGTTAGAGCCAAACCAACAGGTGCAATTTACAAGAAAAAAAAGGAATTAAGGTGAATCATTAGGAAGCATGTCATGAGAGAACCATGAGAGGACCAGTTTGCATTGGGAGGTCATTGAATTTTTCACTGGAAGTTTGTAAGCAGAGGTTGGATAACCACCAAACAGGGATGTTGTAACAGTAGATTGAATTGAGTACTGTACCAACCACTCTGAACACACCCAGTTTCATTGGTCTTCAGAAGCAAAGCAAAGCAGAGTCAGGTCAGGTTAGTATATGGATGAGTGGCTTCCAGAAAGTACGAGAGGTCTTCAGTGTGGCTAGGAGTCCATGGGGAGACCTGGGCAGTCAGAGTGAGTAACACCGGATTGGATTTGATGGACTAACACTCTGACTTCCTATAACGTTGCTTGCTACATTTCATTGCATAGGATTTTGTGGTAATTATGTTAGCAGACTGCAGCAAGTTTATAAGGTGACTTTATGGCTAAACCATGGGAGTAGTCCCTTGGGATGGTAATGGCAAATAGAGATGGACATGAATCTGAAAAATGAGGATTCATGGTTCGGTTTTCGGTTCATGCTCAGAGGTGGCTCCCTGGTCCAGGCATGCTGCTACTACCATCATGCCAACAAAGAAGGACAAAGGAAAAAATTATTTCCTTGAAGAAAGCTGGGGTGATCTAAGAAGTGATTGACAGCTTGGGTCCACCTGGCCAGCTCTTGGTCCATACAGCCCTCCCCACCCCACCCCACCTCACTGGTTATTCTAAATACAATGTACCTATGATTTCCTGAAATTGCAGGGGCTGGATTAGATGCTATTTGCCATCTCTTCCAGCTCTGTGATTTGTACAATTGAGGCCAATGCACCAAAGAGATTCAGAATGAGAAAGTCGGAAACACCAGTTTTGGAATTGAAAGAAGTCGCAAGAGTTTGAGCAGCCAGTAGCTGCCTTTTGGTTTCAAAGAGTTCTGTGAAGTCTGGAAAACACAATTGATCACTCTTATATAATAGGAGCTCCTGATCACATTACCTAATTCCTACATAGGAAGCAGTTTATGTAAATATAGCTATAGCTAAAGATATATATATTAGCATACCACATTCCATTGAGACCAAACTAGGCAAGATGTTAAATTCTTTAAATGCAATGTGCACTTAAAAAAAGGAAATATTATGGGGAAGAGGATCACAACCCAAGCAGATGGGGGGAGGCGTCGTCGCCTCATCCTCAAGTGATCCTGATGAAGATTTGCTCTCTACTGTTACTTATAGAGAAGTGGTTCCCAACCTTGGGTCTCCAAATGTTCTTGGACTACATCTCCCAGAAATCCTGGCCAGCACAGCTAGTGATGAGGGCTTCTGGGAGTTTTAGTCCAAGAACATCTCAAGATTGGGGACCCCTGTTATGGATGAAGGAAAGCTCCGAGTGATGCCTGTTGAGGATTATATACATTACACACAAGTTTTTGTCATTGCACCTGTATGTTGTGGGTCTATATAACCTTTGACATCTCTCAATATCTCTTAATAGGGGACCCTCAGGAGGATATGAACTACAACCCACATAGTGGCTAGCCTGTATGATGTCTTGTAGCTGCAGGTCAACATTGGTGGAAAATCCAATGCAAGGGAAAGTTGTGATTTACAATCTGTGAAACGGGCTGCAGAACTTTCACATTCACATCTTTGATTGAAACCAGACTCGTTAAGCTGTTTAGACCCAAGGCTCTTGGCAAAAACTCTCTTTATGATGTAATGTTTTTTTTTCCCCTCGGGGACTTTTAGTGCTCTCAATGTCTCGTCTGTTTTTCATAAGAAAAAGAAAAGAGGCAATCTTAAATGGTACCCTTGAGCTACAGTCCTCCTCTTTCTGAATCACACCTGATTATTTGCTTGGGAACTGAATGGGGAAACACAAAACCGCCCTTTATGGGGCAAGGTCTATCAACTGGAATGTGACTAGTGCATGAATAGACCTGGGGAGACAAATGATTGTGGAAGCTGGCTTTGATGTTTATGATGATGAAAGCCTGGGGGAATGTGTGTGTGAGAAAAGGTCTTTGCCATAAGAACGCCCTCATCATTGAGGATAAAAGCAACACAGAGTGAAAGAGCGCCCGTTAGTCTTCTTAGGTTTTGGGAACAGAGTGGAGATTTCTCTCTTGGCTGCCTCCATTTCCCAGCAACATGACCACTTCTTATAGGCAGTACACCTCTACCTCTTCATTGAGGGGACCCTCTTTCGGTGGGGCTTCCTCCTCTGTCCATCTTGGTGGAGGATACAGAACTCCCAGCATCCATGGAGGAGTTGGGGGCATGTCTGTCTCTACTTCCCGCTATGTCTCTGGAGTCGGCAGTGCCCTTGGTGGGGGCTTTGTGGGCAGCGGCTTTGGGGCTGGCTTCGGGGGTGGTTTTGGAGGAGGATTTGGTGGTGGCTTGGGTGGCACCTTTGTCGCTGCTGGTGATGGCCTTCTGGCTGGGGGTGAGAAGGCGACCATGCAAAACCTGAATGACCGCCTGGCTGCCTACCTGGATAAGGTGCGGGCCTTGGAGGAAGCCAACACTGAGCTGGAGGTTAAGATCAGGGAGTGGTATGTGAAACGAGGACCTGCTCCAGACTGCGACCACAGCAATCATTTCAAGGTCATTGAGGATCTGCGCAGCAAGGTAAGGGATGGTGACCTCCAGGGGGGACCATTGAGGGGGATCTGCAAAGCTTTGGAAGCTATTCTTTGGGTTACAGACCCCATAATCCCCTAGAGGATTATAGTAGCAGTAGTCCAAAAAAGTAACTTTTCCATTCTTTGGGACAGAAGTATAATAAAGTCAAACAACTATACCAAGGAGAAAGATTTGGGAAAAAAGAGTACATTTTCTAAACAAGCTCAGTGACTTACATACTCCCCTTTTACTAGTAATGACTTCCATCTAGTGTTTGTTCACAAATGCTGATTCATTCAATCTTTTCTTTTAAAAAAGCATTTTCCTTTTAAAGAACATTCACTGGGTGACTGCAAAGTAACCAACATCAAGAAAACAGATTCCAACATACAGCCATTGAATTTGAATTGACTGGCAAAAGCTGATTCTACTTTGTTTGGACTTAATCCATATGTTCCTATGAATTCCCACCCCCCAGGTTTAAACTGGTATAACAAAGCTATTAAGCAAAAGTTATCATTAGTTACTAATGTTAAACACCAATCATTGGTTTTTGGGCACCGTTCAGCTTGGAAAAAATGCTGGGGATAAAGCTCCCAGAATCCCCCCAGCCAGGAAGGATTAAGAGATCTGTAATCCAAAAAGTAATAATAATTGCAGTTCCCAAGCTGTGGTCCTTCGCAGATGCATCACTGATGTAACTTTCACATTTTATATTTCATGCTCCCACTGTTAATATTTTCTCTTGGCACTTATGTAGATGTTTACTTTGCAGTCTTTAAACTGTCAGAATAGACAGCTTTAATGCAGGCAATCCTGCAGTCCCTGGGGTTAAACTACTACCATTCCTCCTTACTCCTAATTATTTATAATGTACCATGCTCAATAAATCTGTCTTTACAGAGTAAAGTCAGCAAAACTCATCAGTTAACTGGCTCCCTGCCCTGAAAAAAATTGTTGAATCAAACGTCTGACCTGGGGAAGAGGTGAAGAGTGAATAGAGAGGAGAGAAAAGGGTTTGGGTCTCAAAGCAGCAGTGCAAGTGACATGGGCTTCCGTTGCTTGCTTTGTTTTTTTTTAATTGCTTGTGAATCAGAGACAGGAGGGGTGCATTTAGCATAAAAAGGCTTTGATTCTACCTGCACAGCATCATATAAAGGAGACAGCAGAAGGATGCTAGAAGGTTGAGGGTTAGTAATAGTGTCACTGATCGACATCTGTTAAACTCAGTGAGTTCTCTTGGGCAGGATGTATGGAAGACTGCATGGCATAAGAATTGTGAAGACTTTTTTTTAAAAAAATACAGAAAATAGTGTTGCAGGAAGGCTAAGTAAAAGAGAAGAACATGACATTTTCTAAAGGCCTCTGGTCATAGATGCCTTCTCTTGTTGAGACATTTGTGTAGGGAAAGACAGCATCATCCAATGATATGGGTGCACATCTTTTCCTACAGAGGCAATTTCCCTTGTAGGGTCCCCATTGTAAGTGAAGGGGCGCAAAAGGAGGAGCCCATATCTGTTCCCCAGGAAGAGGCATTACTCTGGATCAGGGGTGTATGGAAGACTGCATGGCATAAGAATTGTGAAGACTTTTTTTAAAAAAATACAGAAAATAGTGTTGCAGGAAGGCTAAGTAAAAGAGAAGAACATGACCTTTTCTAAAGGCCTCTGGTCATAGATGCATTCTCTTGTTGACATTTGTGTAAGGAAAGACAGCATCATCCAATGACATGGGTAAACATCTTTTCCTACAGAGGCAATTTCCCTTGTAGGGTCCCCATTGTAAGTGAAGGGGCGCAAAAGGAGGAGCCCATATCTGTTCCCCAGGAAGAGGCATTACTCTGGATTAATCAGTATTCTATTCAGCCTATAATGTAGGCAATCAAACAAAACTCCTTATAACAATGAAGTTAAATACCTATTTGGCTAGTTTTTCTTGTTTAAAATCCTAGGTCAGCAACACAGAACATCCTCAGGCAGAATGTCTGAACAGCACTCCTGCTAATTAACAGAGGGCAAAATATACTACGTGAACTATACCACAATGGTGGGAATTTTAGATCCTGTAGATATTGTATGGTTTCAGCTTTCTGAATCTCTTGCCAGGCAGGGTATCTGGAAGATGAAGACTGGGATGTTTGCAGAGTGAAGGCTCCCCCTGCTTGTTCTAACCTAGCATAATGCTTCTGGAAACTTGTAGGAGAGAAAGTTGTGATGATAAACGTAGTCATGCCATTTTGATACAGATAACTGTTGGAAGAGGAATGGATTAAGTGCTTCCTCTTCCTTCCTCTCTCCCAGCCACATCCTTCTTTCCTGAAGTGTTTTTTTTTAAAAAATGAAACAACTAAAAACATCCCATAATTTACATGTAAGATCCTGAATAGCCATTGTTCACAGATTTGAACCCAGGGTCTTCACTAGTATTCAGTACTCAGTGAAATGGGTCACCCTGTTGGACTACGCCCAGTTCATTCAGGTAAACGATGAACCTATGAAGCAGGCCTTGATCTATCTCTGAACCAGCCCTGTGCTGGACCAGGATCTGGAAGATCTGCCTTCTAGACGCCATTGAGCCATGCAACCCATTGGGTGGCCTTGGCTCAACCACTGTCTTTCAGCCTGACTTACTTCACAGAAGTGTTGTTGTGAGGATAAGCATGGGAAGGAAGGAAGCCATGAGCTCCTTAGAGCAGTGGTCTCCAACCTTGGGCCTCCAGATGTTCTTGAACTACAACTCCCAGAAGCCTTCACCATCACCTCTGTTGGCCAGGATTTCTGGGAGTTGAAGTCCAAGAACAACTGGAGGCCCAAGGTTGGGGACCACTGCTTTAGAGGAAAGGGGGATATAAATAAAAGAAATTAATTGATAACAGTTGAAGTAAAATTGGGGCCTGTTAATCTGAAACCTTGGTTTATGCAACTGTTCAGTGACGCGAGGGAGGTGACAAGACACAGCTGGAGCAGTGTCTCCAAGGATGCATTGGTGACTCTAGTGTTAAAGGACAGTCACTTTGTGCATGCTCAAGGGAAACAAATAGAAACTTGAACGTATGTGTACTTTTCGCCTGCCAGTTGGATGCAGAAATCTTGGAGAAATATACTTGTACTTGTACGTTTCTTTCTCTTCCTTGTAGATTCTAGCTGCCAATGTTCACAATGCCAACATCCTCCTGCAGATTGACAATGCGAAGCTGACTGCCGATGACTTCAGAACCAAGTGAGTTGAACTCGGACTGCTGATGACTTCAGAACCAAGTGAGTTGGACTCAGTGCTCAGATGGAAAAGGCTCTCCTTTGACAGGGCATCTTCGAGGGGTGGCGTGAACATAACAGATACTGGTGCTCATAGATTTCTCCTTTCTTCCCTCTTCTCTTCCCATATGATTCCAGATTTGAATCAGAGCGTGCACTTCGCACAAGTGTCGAGGCTGACATCCATGGCCTGCGCAAAGTCTTGGATGAACTCACCTTGTCCAGGTCTGACCTGGAAATGCAGTTAGAAAATCTCAGGGAAGAGCTGGCTTACCTGCATAAGAACCATGACGAGGTGAGGAGGCCCAGCTGCCAGCAGCCCAGATGGGTCCAGGTTGTTCAAATTGAGAGCATCCGTAGGCAGCTGGTTTTATACCTGGTGGATCCAATACACAGAGGTTCCTTCCAGTGCAATTGGCACAGGTTGCTGTAGTCTTATGAGTGGTTCAGCACAATATTGGTCTTTGACAAATCTTTGAAAAGTGAGCCCTCATCTCTGGCTTCACATGCTAGACATTTATTGAATAATACACTTGAGCCTGGTTCACCACCCCCAGCACTTGATTAGTCTTCACAATCAAAATTGAGCCTGGTTCACCACCCCCAGCACTTGGTTAGTCTTCACTTCATTACTGTGCTTGTCATTATAACAATCAAGGGTGAGAACAGAGTCCACTGAAAAACACAGTGTTTTTAAAGAGATATTAAGATTTCATCTGCTATGTTCTTTGCACATGTAAGTCCTTATGGCACTCTTCATGACCTGAACATGGATTTGTGAATCCATCCATAAAAACCTACTGCATTAGTTAACCTATTGACTTCAGCATATAAAAGACAGCCTTCTCTCACTATTAGCCCTTCAAAAGCTTTCTAAGTTGATGCTCCTCCGTACTTATAGTACGGAACAGTAAGTCTTCCATGTTCTGGCCATCACTGTGCCTTGTGGCAATTATTTATTTATTTATGTATACATTTAATTAAAGTAGGCATATATCACTTTTCTGTCCGTCAGGGCCTTTGCGCAATAAAATCTGATATGTGATAAAATTTGATAAAATCACAGTTTATTTTATTGGATGTATAAGTGGATAAATAAAATAAAAATCCAAGAAAAGCATGGAAGCATAAAAACAGAACATGCTTTATACATAGACCAGAAGGAGTTTTTAAAACTGTGGTTTCATTTTGTGCTATGCTACTTCCTCCCCCTGTCCTTTTTTTTGGATACCATTCAGTTCTCTTCGTGACACGGGACCAAGGGGTCTATTATTATGGCAGAGGACAAACATGATCTCTTTATGGTTTCATGACATCATCATAAATGTATATACCTCTGTCATGTTGTCAGCCTAGACAGTCACTAGATGAAATCATTGAGGGTCAAGCTATGAATGGAAAATAATAAGAGTGGCTCTGTATTAATTTCAGGATGAGGGGTAACATGCTTTTGAATATTAATTATGAGTGAATGCCAGAAGGAAGATGCTGTCCTGCCATGCTGGTGGGCTTCCTAGAAGCCTCTGGTTAGCAAGACTTGATCGGTCTAGTCCCGCCAGGGTCCTCTTCTAGACTGGAAAAACTGGTACAGGTTGGAGAAGTATACAGGTTACTTGATAAGTAATGTCTCAGGGTAAACTTCACTACAATGAGCCAGTGTGGGAAGTGGATAGAGGACCCAGGAGACTTTTATTCAATTTTTTGCTCCATCATGGCAAATCCCTAGGTGGTGGCAATGAGAACCCCCCCCCTTCCTTGAACATCTTACATACTGCAAAATTCTATTAACGTCATCGTATGTAAAAAGAGACTTGATGGCCTATTTAAAAAAACAACCAAAAATATATCTTTCACCAAGCTAGATTGCAGCACTCTTTTCCCTCCTTCTATACTCATTTGCATAATGAAGAACAGAATGCCTGGGAATTGCATAGAATAATAGAACCCATGGGAATAAGATCAAACAGCTGAAAGAGCTTGATGCCTGAGAATTAGCTTAAGCAGGTTGAAATGTCAGCAGCTATCTGCTGTTTCTCACCGAACATTTTTGAATACCCTGTTTCCCCGAAAATAAGACAGGGTCTTACATTATTTTTTGCTCCAAAAAACGCATTGGGGCTTATTTTCAGGGGATGTCTTATTTTTTTCATGTACAGCCATATACATTTATTCAAATACAGTCAGGTCATCTTCTTCTGGTGGCTGCACAAGGGTGGAGGGCGGGGTTTCACTTAACTGGGGCTTATTTTGGGGGGTAGGGCTTATATTATGAGCATCCTGAAAAATCATGCTAGGGCTTATTTTCAGGTTAGGCCTTATTTTAGGGGAAACAGGGTACATTTTCAGTGACATTGTATTTATCTCGAAGAACTGAACTTTGACATCTCCAGTCTTACCAGTAAGAGGAATGAACAATAAGAGACATTAGGGGAGGGCATCTCTCTCCGAAAAGGAGAGAAACTGAGAAAGGAAAAATGTTAATTTTTTGGTAGGGTTAGATCTTAATGGGGAACAAGAAAATGGTAGTGTTGCAAATTAGAGAAGAACGGTATCAACTGAGGTTGCCCATGGTAACTAGGTGATTTTTGTTCTCTGTTCATCTAGGAACTGAAAGTCCTCCGAAGCCAGATGGGTGGAGAAATCACTGTGGAGATGGATGCTGCTCCTGGGGTGGACCTCACTAAGATCCTGGCGGAGATGCGAGAACAATACGAGGCCTTGGCAGAGAAGAACCGCAAGGATGCCGAGCAGTGGTTCTTCACCAAGGTGAGCCTTCTGTGGGAAGATAAGCCTTTCCTGAAAGGACAGTGAGCATTTGTATGATATACTCATCCTGTTCTCCTTTCCCTTGCAGACTGAAGAGCTGCACCGGGAAGTTGCCATGAATACGGAGCAATTGCAGAGTGGCAAATCGGAGATTGTAGAGTTAAGACGCACCCTCCAAGCCTTGGAAATAGAGCTGCAGACACAGCTCAGCATGGTATGGACTCTTCCTGCTATTCTCTTTCACCCCTGATTCCACCACAGGAGCTCATTTGCTGAGTATCCAGACACAATCCTCATGATTTCCCTTTGCATTTGTAGCCAAATAATAGCAATAATGGTAATAGCTGTAGTGGCAATTGGAGATGGGCATGAACGATGAAAATGGTTTGCGATTCATCGCTATTTATGAACCACCAATTTTATGAACTTTCTGACGAAATGAACCATTTCATGGTTTGTGCAAACTGGGAATTCCAGGAGCAGTAGAAAATGTTCCTGCACTAATTAGAGACACCAAACTCACAGTGAGTTTTTAGCTGACTCTCCTCCCTGCCCTCTTCAAGTTTGTCAAAAACTGGATTTTGGACATCTGAGTTATAGCCCCTGAAAACAAGTCCCATCAGGAAAGTGCTCTTTAGCAGCTGGCAAAACATGTCCTGATTCATTTCCCCCCCTTTGTGGTGCGTTTCATGCCCATTTCTAGTGGTAATGATGCCTATGTTGGCGACAACATCAATACGCACTTAGCGAGACTCCCTACATTTCCTGTAGCTCAGCTGTTTTCATACTGTATTCTGAAGAACTTTGGGGACTGTCTATGTCAATTATGGTGAAAAAACATATTGACAAACAGGGAAGGATGAGACATTTCTTTCAGGTTCATTCTCAAGATAATTTAGCAGCATTTGTAGATGCTTTCCTCTTTCAGATGGAAAGAAGCTGAAATAAATACCTTTTTAAAGAAGAATGTAGAAGGAACCAAAGCTGATAGATTCATCCAATTAGGCCCAGGGCCTTGAGTACTTAATTCATACAAGTCTGGGTTTGAATTCTTATCTATCAGATGATATCTGTTCTTTTGGATTTTTTTCTGAGAGGCTCCTCCTCTTTCACATGAAAGATACCACAGGGTCCTCTATGCTGGGAAGAACCTCATCTACCCAAATTTGGTCCATTTTCTTAGAGGGAGGAATTCCATTCCATTTTATTTTAAATAATTTATCTAAAATCACAGATGGCTTCATATCTGGAAAGAGAAGAAGTTGAAGTTTAAATGTGCACATGCAGAATCGAGCTCTTAAGCAGGACGGTCTGTCACAGAATTGAGTGCAATCATACACTCAGCCGCTCAGAGTGGTATAGATTTACCAGATGAGCAGGATATGAATCAAATAAATAAATAAATAAATAAATAAATACACAGCCCAAGCTTTCCTTGAGCGATGGGTCTAGTCTTTGGTTCTCCTTGTCCTTGGAAGTTATGGTAGAATAGGGGAGACCTTATCCAAGAGTAGTCTAGTTCTTCATGTTTAATGCTGGTGTGATAAGAGGATTGAATTTGAGAGAGCATTTGAGATACTCCTTGTCATCCCTAGGGACTGGTGAGAATTTAATTTCAATTCATTGTTTCCCAGAATTTCCCAAAATTCACAAAATTAGAATACTAGAGAAACCAGCACTGGCAGACTTGCCCGTCTCTAGTTACCTCTGAGATTCCCAGTGAGGTGTAATGGATAGAGTGACAGATGAGGAGGGAGAAGAGGGTTCAAATCACTGCACAGCCATGGAAACACATTGGGGAAGTAGAACTGGTAAAGTCACTCCTCAAATATCTCACTTACAGTACTTTGAAAGCCCTGTTAGGGTCACTATACGTTGATTCTAACTTCATGGCACAAAACACACATAGTTACCTCTGAAGGACAGGGTAATAGACTGGGACTCAGGAGACCTGGGACTCAGGAGACCTGGGTTCAAATCTCTACTCACTCATGCAAATTCACTTTTGGTGACAATAGTACATTCCTTGAATGTATGTTGAAAACTCTGTCAGGATTGCCTGCATTGGAATGCAGCTTGATAGCTCATACCGTCACATAGCTGTTACCCCTGAGTCTGACATAACTAGAAATGGGATCATATTAGGGTTATGCACTGGCTTAGTTCAAAAACCCAGTTACTAACTGAATTGTTGTAATTTAGATGTATTTTCATGAGGCTGGATCAAAGTGGAATGGCCAGAGTTGGTTCCAGAGTAAAGTTAACTGAATTGACAAATCAATTCAGATCCAAGGCACAAATCGAATTACAAATAATTTCTGCCCTTTTTGTTGTTGCTGCTGTTGTTTTCGAAAGAAGCATATTTTAAAGGTGGCTTGTACACAACTCCCAAAGACAACAGTCTGAAATATGGCAGGTTTACACTCCCTTCTGTAGAGTGTGTAATGTCTCCAGACTTTCTGTACATCAGTGCAAAAAGAAACAACTAATGGCCGTTTTGGTTTTCTAATGCAAGTTATTGGGAAGCTGGAAATCCAAATATATAAACTAATTTGAATTCAAGGCAGACAGCAAACCAAATGGGGCAACAATGACTCCAGACTGGGATCCATTCCAAAACTTGGGACTGTCTTCTGGACCTAAGCAAGTGACTCAAGCACAGTCAGAGACCACCCCAAAGCTTCCCACTTAACCCTGACTTCGATCCCTCCACTCCTCTTTCGTTTTCCAGAAATCGTCCCTGGAAGGCACCCTGGCAGAAACAGAAGGCCGCTATGGCACCCAGCTTAGCCACATCCAGCTCATGATCACTGGCGTGGAAGAGCAGCTAGCCGAACTGCGTTCTGACATGGAGCGCCAGAACCATGAATACCAGGTCCTCCTTGATGTCAAGACCCGCCTGGAACAGGAAATCAACACCTACCGTCGCCTGCTGGAAGGAGAGGAAGCCCAGTAAGTGGAAGAGATGCAATATTGGGACCAGAAATACAGGAGCAGATTCTGTCACAGAGGTCTGTGGCTGTAAATCTCAGAGCTGGGAGGCAACGAGTTATAAACAATAATTATTAACTGCTTGCAATCAATTCCTTTCTCCAAGAATTATGGAATAAGCTTGTTATATTGCAATTACCATATTTCCCTGAAAATAAGACAGGGTCTTATATTAATTTTTGCTCCAGAAAAACACATTAGGGCTTATTTTCAGAGGATGTTTTATTTTTTATGTACAACAATCCATATTTATTCAAATACAGTCATGCCATCTTCTTCTGGTTGCTGCACAATGGTGGAAGGTGGACTTTCACTTAACTGGGGCTTATTTTGGGGGGTAGGGCTTATATTATGAGCATCCTGAGAATTCATACTAGGGCTTATTTTCAGGTTAGGTCTTATTTTCAAGGAAACAGGGTATAATATAATGAGTGAATTCTTTACTCCTTTTGCAGTGTAGCTGTAACTTTTTGGTTACATTTATGATTACAGGAATATGACCCCACAAAACATTGGAAAGGAATCTCACATGATTTAAAAGTTATGTTTCATGCTGTTGGACGAACTTTTAAAAGTAACTATAAATAAACTGTTATTTTTGAGAAATACAAAAGGTTAAAAATGCAATTGCAAGAGTAACGAACTGCTATTTCGGCTGTGGAATTATAACCGAGTACTTCTTAAAATTTGCATCATGGCACTAATTAGGTTGGTTTCTGTATCATTGGCTGTAATTTTGTTGTTGATTTATGTGTGTGCAACTGAAATCAGGTAAGTCATGGTGGAACATTGCCACTAATTTAGAAGTTGCCAGGACAGAGACTGGTTTCTTGATAATTAGTGGCTATTTGCTTCTTTGACTTTTGTGATTGCATTGACACTTCTGTAAATCAGCAATGAGATTCTGGCAATTCTTGTTAGGAACTAGCACTCTTTGTTGCTACTCTGCACATATTTCACTGCAATTTAAAATGACGGTTTATATTTCTCTAACCCTCTAATTTTCATCTTCCTACAGCATTTCTACTCAGTATTCTTCAGGTATGTCTGCTTCTTATTTGTCATTCACATACCTTCATATATATATATATATCTATTTATCTATATATCTAGAGTGTGAGGAGGAAAAATATTTACAGTAACATGTTACTGATGGATCCCAGGCAGGGCTGGCTCTACCGTTAGGAGGCAGTTCTCTGAGGTAGCACATGCTGGTAGGCAGCAGCAAAGTGTAGGAAGAGTAAAGGCAGAATAATGGCTGGATTGCCAATCTAGCCACAACCTTTTCTACATGGAATGAAGGAAAGCACCATCTTGTTCTTTGCCTCAGGGAACACATGTCTTGAGATGACTCCAGATCCAGGTCTGAAAAAACTGAAGAGAAGTTATAAACTCAGTAAGCCAAAGCAAGAAGTCCATAAAATCCAGCTGTCCAAAATTAGCATTCTTTCCCCCTGAATGAGAAAGTCAGATTTAGTTCTCGGTGTTACAGTTCAGAACAAAAACGGAAACAAGAAACTAAGAGCCTTCCAAGATTTGGTGAAGGCAAAGGAATATTTTTGGAAGTGCTGTCCTACATTTTAAAATCCTCTTCTGATATTGCTCAGTGTCTAAGACACAACCATCCTTCTCCCCATGATGAATAACTTCATGTAGAAGTACTTTGAAAAGAGGCCAGGATGTGTAAGAGTTTGGTCTTACGTTCTTTAAAAAAAGAATGAAGATCAGCTTAGTTTTCTAACAAAATGCTGAAAAAACAGTAGGAAGTAGTGGATGCGGCATAACTTTTCCACCTTCTGCAAACAGCATATCCATTTCCTCTTTTCTCCTGCTATAGGGCCCATAACCACTCGCCAGGTTCGCACGATTGTTGAGGAGGTAAAAGATGGAAAAGTGATCTCGTCCCGTGAGCAGGTCCATGTCTCTGGACGTTAGGCCTGCAAGCATATGTGACACACCAGCCTGTTTCTCCTACATGATGCTCGTCAAGTGTCCAGCCTCCTGCTCTGTTCCCAACCATCCCCACAAGCTGAGATTTCTCATATGGCTGCATCCACAAGGCTCAATAAAGGCTTCCCTCCTTTCATTCATGCACAACCTGAGGTTTGGTTTTATTTTCTCCTGCTGAAGGGACACCTCTGCCACTGCTTTTTGCTCTCCCCCCCAAAAAAAATAACACTCTAGAACATGCAAGACAAATAGGAACCAGGAATATCCAAAATAACAACACACACAAAGAGAGACTGCTCAAATGCAGGGAATATGAACTGAGCCACAAGTCACCAGAAGCAGTTCAGGACATGACAAGAAGAGGCCAAAGACTTAATCATCCTCCAAGAAGAAAAGTCGTTGATCACATTTTCAGTTTCACCCTTTGTTCTAGTAACATACCAGAACTGAGCCTCGTGTAAAAGTAGCTATTGTGAAATCCACGGGCTTAACAGCATGCTTACCTGTATGCTGGATTTGAGCTGACAGTTTTTCCAGAGACTTAGAACTGATCCCTTCTGATTAAGGAATTGAAGTGTCAGCAGTGACTAAACCAATTACGTTGCAGTCTTACAGTTTACAGAGCTGCCCGGTCTCAAGGTGTCAGCTGAAATCTCAGCAGGCAGATGGCTGGGAACCGCCATCTCCCTGCTGAGGGAACTGCTATGCTTTTGAGGGTCTTTGGGTGGAGAAGCAACTATCAAAGCAAGAAAGTTTGATTTGGGAAAGGGGATAGTTTTAAAGCCTGCAGCTGTTAGGTACAATTTGTCAACAGCATGGCTACCAATAATATCTACCACCAGCCCATTTCCACAGTCATTTGGTCTATCAGCACTTCTGACCTCATGCTCAATCCTTGCCTGCCCTGCCTCTTATGACCTCACAAGACCTGCCCCTTGATCTGAAGTTTTGGTTCTGAAATCTCAGGGAATGGGATATTGCTGACTTAGCCAGCCTAATTTACAGTGGTGAGCCTGAGTTAAGTCCAAAAGACATTGTGCAAAGATTGGAAAGGAAGCAGGACTCTTATATTATTAGTAACCATCTCCATCACTGCCAGAATAGAGTTTGAGTGTCACATATCGTGTGGCATTTATGTCAAATTTCTTTAGCAGTTTTCTCTGTCATTGTTGGTATGCCAGAAATGTTCTGTTATAAAGAACATGGTAAAAGACTAACTTGTGTAAACTTGTTGAAGGAATTAAATAATTCAAAGTATGGTCTCACAGACTTAGATCTAAGAAAGAGATCTAAGATGTCCCTCAAAAAATCAACATGGTTGTACTGTAGTTCAGGTTTTAGCTTATTGAAAAAAAATGTTTGAAATCTTTCAAGATAGTGGATGATCAAATGACAGAAAGTAATTCTGTGAGCTTCAGGGCGGAATGGGAATTTGAGCGCACTCTCCCCACTGAGAAGGTCAACGTAGACATTATTGCTTCCAATTAAACAACTTACCCTCCCACAATGAGATTTTTTTTCTGGGATTTGTGCTTCACCAGTCTTGCAAATGAAACCTCTGTTTACCTTCCTGTAACAAAATAAAATAAATTAAGTACAAGATATGGAGGTGAAGGGAAATCATGTGCTGTGACAAACAGATGCCTTTCACCACTTGAGGAAACATCTGTTCCAAATACATGCTAGATGTATCATCCACTTTGATTCTGCGACTCACTTTAAGCGTATTGCTGGATGCTGGATCTCATCTGGGATCTCACAGAGAGCAGAGATCCCTGAACAAAATATCACACCTTAGGGAAACTCCTGAAGGGGTCCAAGAGATATTCATCTGTCTATATAAGCACCTGTGTCTATAGCATTAACCATGGGCTGCACCTGGTCTGGAAAATCAAACACTGAAAAAAACATCTAAATGGGAAGAGATCAAACTAGACACCACCATTCCCCCCCCCAATTTGGGGTTTTTAGGGAGTGTTTTTCCATGCCTCCAGGTACAGAAAAAAAAACCTTTAAAAATAGGAGATGCTGTAAAGGCCTTCATGCGCTGCACCTAGCTTATCCTCTATTATAAGATAAAGGAAAACAGCGAACATCTTTTACCTTAGTAATAGATCAGTCTATCCTTCCCTTATCTTCCCAGTCTGCTTGAGTCCAAACTGGGAGGGGGAGAGAAAATATCCTTTATATATATAAAGAAAATACATAGCCTTTTTGTTTTTGATAAGCTCCTATATATAGCCTTTTTGTTTTTGATAAGCTCCTTTGTGTTTTACGCTGGCATAAGGATTTTGAAGGAAATATATTGATTCTATATATTGAAAAGGAAAAGGGGGAAATTGAACTTTTCTGACAATAAGATGAAGAAAAATGGTGAACATCTTTCACATTAGTAATATATTTAGCAGATTCCAAATTCCCCTTGCTCTTCTTCCTCAGCTCTATTGATTCAACACTGCTATGGCCTTACATGCCTTGGGACATGATGGCACTGCGGGCTAAACCGCAGAAGCCTTTGTGTGCTGCAGGGTCAGAAGACCAGCAGTCGTAAGATCGAATCCATGCGACGGAGTGAGCTCCCGTCGCTTTGTCCCAGCTCCTTGCCAACCTAGCATTTCGAAAGCATATAAATAAAAGTAGATAAATAGGCACCACCTCGGTGGGAAGGTAAACAGCATTCCGGGTCTAAGTCGCGCTAGCTACGTCACAACGGAAGCTGTCTTCGGACAAACGCTGGCTCTACAGCTTGGAAATGGGGATGAGCACCGCCCCCTAGAGTCGAACACAACTGACTAAAATGTCAAGGGGAACCTTTACCTTTACCTTTTATGGCCTTACATGCAAAACTGAAGTAAATGTGTTGAAACAGATCTTAGGAGGCCATTAAATTGGCTACTTAGTCCACAGTTTACGTCCGATTAAGCACAGATGAAATCAAATTAAAAGCCAACAACTACATGATGTGAAGCTCAATGTGGGGAATTCTCTCTTTCCAGTGAGGAATCATCTTTTTATGTTCAGCTGAAAGGGGTGTTTTAAATTTGCTTCAATTGTCTGGCATTCCCCCCCCCCCACTTTCTGGTGTGTGTGATCACCTGATCTGAGTGCAAAGGGATTGTTGTGGGGTTGTCAGTTCCCATCCACCAATTTTAAAAGTTTAGACCAGGGCTCTTCAAACTTTTCAGTATAAAGGCCACATCATATATTTTACACATTTTTGAGGGCCGAAGAGGGAAAAAAACGGCGGGGGGGGGGAAGGGAAAAAAGCAGTTTTATTATGAATTAGTAAGTTTTATTTGAATCAACAAACTTATACTTGTATACTACAATATTAATGGGAATGATTGGACTGCTTGTTTAATTTCAAAATATTGCCGAACTGAGGTTTGAAGCTCGAGGAGCCAATTATTAAAATGGACCGAAGATGCTCATCGGATAAACTTGCTCGATAGTTGGACTTGACATACTTCATTCTTACAAGATTTGCAAGAGCAAAATCATTACAGTAAAAAAAGGATCTTTAATCCAGGCAGTAAACTGTTGCCCTCGGGTCCGCCCCACAAGAATACAGAATCCAAGCCAAGCACCTACAGCCTCTTTCTCTGCCCAAGCAGAAGTTGAAAAAGTTATTATTATTTATTTTTTTTGGACTATAACACTTCTGCCCAAGCAGAAGTTGAAAAAGTTATTTTTTCGGACTATAACACCAGAATCTCCCAAAGGGCATGAGGTGTGGCCATGCTGACTGCAGGATATGAGATAATTGTAGTTTTAAAAGGAGTACTTTTCAGAGTTCTGCTATATGGCAGAGCCAGTATTTGGTTGTAAACATCCTTTGAATAACTGATCCATGTACATCGTGCAGTTCCTGAACTGAAATGTCAGGGAGAAACCATTGTGCCATTGCTCATATTTCTGAACTGAAATGCCAGGGAGGAACCAATGTGCCATTGTTCATGTTAGATTTGATTCCCCGTGTTCCCTGCATGCTGGCTTTCAATTGCTAGGACCACAGTTTCCATAGGATCAGTACCCACAGTTTCACTTATCCACTGCCTGAAAAATATTAACACCCCCCCCCAACACATGGAGGAGTCATGGAGATGCTCCGGTTTGTCCAACGTATCCTCCTCACTCAAACATTCAAGTCCTCCCTCGCTCATCTTCCCCTCCCACAAAGCCAATTGAAAGCTAACCAAAAGCACTTTTTCAAATATTACAGACACTTGCCATTCGCGAACCATTCGCAAAACACATCTCTCGAGCCAATTGAAAGCTAACCAAAAGCACTTTCTCAAATATTACAGACACTTGCCATTTGCGAACCATTCGCAAAACACATCTCTCATGCTGGCTTCTGACTGTGCTCGCCATGCTGCCATAGCTCTGGATCTCCCAAGCAAGGACCACCAAAAGGCAGGAAGGAAGAAGAAAGAGTGGATGGACACAACTGTGTTTGAATTCCAGGCCTTCTTGCTAAATATATCTTCAGCACCCATTTGTAATTTATCATCGGCCAAAACAGGCAGCAGAACAGCAGCCAAGATCAAAACACCTTTCACTGAACAAAAGACAAAATGGGAAAGACGACAAGGCAGAAGGCCCTGAAGGGAAACAGCAGCTCACCTGAAGTGCCCTTCAACAAAGGCAGCCTCCAAAATGCCACTGGGGCATCTAACCTCACTGATTTCCCATTCTTTCAGCAGCAAAAGGTCCTCAGTATATGTAGTGGCTATATTCTCTTGTCCCATGGACACAAAGGGTTGTGACTGAAATTTTATTTTTCATTTCCCTGACTTTCCAGAAAGTGGCAACCCTGACACACCAGGTGCCATTTTGGGAGCCCCTTGGTAGAGGGGCACAGTGCCCAAGGGGTGGGGGAGAGATGGTGCCTGAGGGGGACACAGCACCAAAGGGGCCAGCAACTTCTCTTCCTCTGACAGCTGAAAAGGGTTGTGGTGTTGGGGGAGGGGGACAAGACCCCAACTTCCCCAGAAAGATAAGTCCCGCAGGGCTCCCTCCCAGGCACAAAGAGGCAAAAAGATTTTAACAGGTTTCTTCCCTCCCTCCCTTTGCTTGCATATTTTTAGGGAAGGTCATCAGTAGGAGAGGCGGCAAGGAATCCCTGCCACCTCGTCTGCCTCCTCTCCCACCCTGCGTCAGGCGC